GTCGGCAGTGGTGACTGTCATGACGCTGGCAACCATTTTAGCCTACACGAATCCAGGAAGTTTAACAACTTTGGAGTATTCAGTTCCAGAAAAACTGATCAGTCAGCTCTGAGTGTGTTCACTCTAAGTGATCGCATTTATCTTTTAAAACATTGTCTGTTACTGTGGTCCAATATGAGCTTTGACGTTGTCTCTCTAATGAGGAAATGAAATAGTGTCAGTCAGCTGCTTTGGTGACGAGAGGAGGCCAAAACCAGAAAGTGAACCAGAGTTTAACTTCCGTTGTTGGGGAACTGAGAACTTAAAATTTTAACTCCTGGTTAACAACCTCAGTTTTTACTGATTCCACTTTCTGGAACACAACCCTAGAAGAAAATCAATTCTGTTCAGAGATTTTTTTTTGTCTAATCCCAGAATTTAATCCGTCCCCTCATTCTTCCTTCACCGACATTTGACTGAGCCGGACGAGGCGGGTCAGATTCAAACCCGGCAGTTGTTTCATGTGTCTTCACTTGTGATGATATAGATCTAACCCTTTCTACAGTGCTGTTAGCACACAATGTTTACCTTCTAGCAGCTGCAGTGATGTGGGGATCTGCTCAGATTTAGCACAGACACAAGCCACTTGACACAGGGCCACTAGAGGGCACTACAGAAGATTAAATCCCTTGTTTACTTCCACCTGCAGGAGTTGCATAAGTTGGAGAGCTGGCAGCAGCAGCGCTGCAACCTTGAAACCGGTTAAGTAGTTAAGAACATAAACTGTAGTCTTCCGTACCTGGAAGATGACAAGGAAGAGGTTTTTCTGCTCGCTCTGAGCAGACTCCACCTTCTCCTGGAGCCTCTCGATCTGCTCCTCCAGCTGACCCTCCTCATCTTCACTGTTCTTGTCCATTTCCTCGTCGTCCCCGCTGTCGCGCTAGTAGTGAACAAAAATTTGAATTGAATTCATTTTACACAATTTGTTCATTATTTTAAGTTTAACGTTAAAATAATGATGATTGCGTATTGGGGGGGAGGGTTACCCTCTTGTGCTGCTGTTTCTCCAGTTTGTCTTTGGCCTCCTCCAGCTCCTTCTGGATCTTCTGCACGTGTTTGTTCATCTTTCGGATGGTCGAGTGCAGGATCTCCCAGATGAAAAGTCTAGATGAGGCACAGAAAGTCTTTCAGATTACAGGGAAGACGCTGCGCTCGCGTCATGAGAGCTAAAACCTAAACATCTGCGTGTCCCACCTGGTGAACTCGTGAGCCATGTCCTGAGAGAAGAGCCAGTTGGCGACTGCAGCACAGTCCACAACCTGCGTCCGAATCAATTTGTCCACCAACACGGCGATCATCTGCCAATCAGCAGAGTTTACATGAACCACAAAAAAAAAAAAAGAACTGGCTTCATTTACATGCTCGTGGATGTCACACTGTTTGTTGTACCTGCGGGTGGTTCCTCCACACTTCATACAACACTTTGAGGAGGTGCAGCTTTCCCTCGTCACTGTTGGCCAGAGTCTTCAGGATCTCGTGAAACCTGAAAGCAATCAGACGCAGGTGAGGCCAGCAGCTCTCCAGTCACTGCATGTGCATTCAGAGCATAAAAAGCAACTAAATTAAATAATTTTCCTTTTATTTCAGCTCTTAACAAATAATAGTTTCTGGCACTTTGTATAACAGCAGAAAAACATCTGATGCATCTCTCTGTATCATAGCTGAAAACAATACAACATTTTGGTGGCAACAGATGTTCCTTACTTGCCGAGTGCACTGAACGAGTGGCTGAAGGATTTGGCTGCTAGGTTGAGCAGAGTCTGCAGGAACACGTCGATCTTCAGAGGATTGAAGCTCTCGCCCTCGTCTGGAGGGACCGAGAAAGAAATGTAATCAAAGAAGAGAGAAGTGTAGGAGAAAGACAGCACTGCACAAATGAACTTTTCATGCAGGATCAAGTAAAACGAAACGGGAAACAAACCATCATCATCTTCCTGGTTGGGGTTGGGGACCTCTTTGAGGACGGTGAGGATCTCTTCGTTAGATGCTCTGTTCTTGATGGCGTTACTGACGGTGATGGACATGGGGTAACCCGGTAACGAGGCTATGAAGCAGCAGAGTCCAGTATTTAGTTATCAGTCTGCTCCTTTTTGTTTTTAAGTAACAAGAAAACAAAATGTCTGGCAGTCTTACAGGCGGTGTCGTCTGGATATTTATATGTAAAGATGGGGTCAGCAGGAATGAGGGCCGAAAAGGTTGGAGGCACGATGTCCACTATCCTCTGGTGGTATGAAAGTCTGCGATTAAAGCAGCACAGCAGAGAAATGAGCAAAAACACAGACGTTCTTTCGCCTACAATTTTCTAATCCAAAGGGATTTTTTAAATGTTTTCTTGTTATTGTACTCTCTTCCCAGCCTTACTTCTTCCCTATAGTGGCCCTGATACACCGTCACAAACACTCAAGATAAGGAAGATAAACCCTCTCTAACTATATTACTACACCTGACTCTCGTGTCCTGATCTCCTCTACAGGACTGGAAAACTCAAAGAAAGCATAAATAGTGCCCCAATACCTCATGCACTTCTCCAGAACCTCTTTGACAAACTTGGGCTTGGGTTTCTCTAGATCCACGGTCAAGCAGTCAGACCTTTAAGACAGAGCATGATTTAGGTTATAATATTAAAAAGACAAAACATATATACAGCCACTTTAAATGCTCCCAGTCAGTCACTCACCAGTCATCCCAGCTCCATCGGAACTGGAAGTTGCTCAAATGATGAGAAAACCAGTTGATTAGTCTGCAAAAATTAGCAGTGTGATCGCATTAGAGTTAAATGAGAGTCAGGAAACTTCTTTGTACTGTTAAAGTTAAGATACAGAAACATTACCGGTCTATGCAGGTGGTGTTCATGGTGTCCAGTCTCATGTAAAGCATCTCTGTGGCTTGGGCCAACTAACGGGCAGGTGTTAAGGCTCCAATAACAACTTCTAATTGTTAAACCTTTAACAATTTTCCAACTATAGTGTGTTTTCTACATATGTGCTCATTCAGACAAGTCTAATCTAATCTCCATTTGTGTCCTTTCACAGACACTTCTACTCATTAAGCTCCTTGTTGTGTTACAGTTAGTGAGTTCAAGTTAACTGAACTGCCCATATGAGTGAATGTGTGTGAAAGGTTGTCTGTCTCTCTGTTGCCAGCCCTTAATAAGGCTGGCAACCTGTCCCGGGGCGTCCCCCACCTCTCGCCGTATGGTAGCTGGGATAGGCTCCAGCCCCCCTGTGACCCTGACAAGGATAAGCGGATGAGAATGGATGCCCTAGAAGAATTATTCAATTTGATCGCGACATGGCAAATATGTGTTTTTGCTGGTGCATATTTTTGCTGCCTGTATTAAATGATTATGAAGAAAATGTCACAGGAACAACAGAGAGGAGAATCCAGTCACACATTTGACTCAAATGCTAACCTTTTAGGCCCACAGTCAAGGTTACCCACGATAAACTATTTCACCAAACTCTCAGTGTCTCAGTAGTGAATCCTGGGGTTTGAACATGGATTACATAAGACCAACTGCTAAAATACTTAGGCCCTGTTAATCTCTAAAACTAATCTAAATCTAAATTAAAGATGGCCACGGTTGCCTTTTGCAACAGTTTGGTGCATTTAATTCAAACAAGTGTTCAAATTTTTCAAAGGAGCAGCTAAAGGTTATTTTTTAACATAAAATAATCAAGGATACGACTTGGGGCAACGATCCGGGCTGCAGTTTGCA